TTTTTTTTTTATAGAAATCTTCGTTTTATTAGATTTAGGCCACTCAAATCGTTTTAATGTTATCATCTAAATAACGCACAAATGTAAGGAAAGTGCCCAAAAGTTGCTTACAATTAAGCAAATATTCACAAAACTGCAATGTTTTTCGCTCAAGTTACAAAATAATAAAAAAATAATAATTGACTCAATCGACTAATGGCTTTTCTACGACCAATCGACACTCGCAATAGCATTGAATATACATTTGTATGTATACCCATATATAACCCTACCAGCTAATAATTTTTAATCACGAAATCACAGGGACCAAGTATGCGCGAAGAATATTGTAAAAATAAAGTATAGTTTAAAAAACTAAAACCTCCCTATTATAATTGCCATTCGTGCTGTCATAAGGTATGTAACTTGAGAATAGAAATCGGTGCATCTGTTAGCCGTATCAATATTACATAGTTACATCTCGAGCTAATAAAAGGAAGGTAACAAAAAGAGTAAATTTTTCGATTTAAAGTTTAAATTTTCGCGTATACTAAATTGCTTCCTTAAACAATTTGCTAAAATTAGCTAAATCTTTTTATAAACATATCCTGTTAAATTGCTATTGTTACAAGTCGCATGTGAACGCTGGCTTCATAATCAATAAACGAAATATTCAAAAATCTCACGCGTCAAATTTTTCTTTTTTAATTCGCGTTTCCATACACATAATTTAACTTCAAAAGCGACCAATGAAATTGAAGTATTTAATTCCGTTTTAATTCACGAATCAAAATCATTCCTCCCCGCAACTTTAAAATTCTACCTTTAAGCGCGTTCGTTTCTTTTAAACATGCTTTGTATATATATATGTATGTATGTATGTATGTCCATATGCATGTAAACGTGAAATGTGTGTGTATGGTACTATATTCAAATTGGCCATGCTACAGATATTGTTTCGTTATTTATGTTTTAATAGTGTTTCCTTTAATTTTAAATGTTCAATTTCTTTAAAATTATAATTAGTTCATTTGATTACAATAGATGTGTTGGTTGGTTGGGTTGCCTTCTCTTTGTTGTTTTTTTTTTCTTTTATAATTATATAAATTTTAATAATTATAATATATTTAATAAACCATATTTATAATGTTTTGCTCTGGTTGTTGCTTCTGCTGCTTCTTATGTACCCGTAGTCGCCGTCATCGTCGTCTTGCCGTCGACCACGTCCACGTCCACATTGCATCGTCGTCGTCGCCTTTCTACATACTGCCTCAGCATCAACACTCCCCCCTTCCTCCTCCATTATACCATTTGTTTCAACTGCACCTTCATTTTCATAGCGTTGTGTTTTTGCATCTGCTATTGACCACACCGTTCGTCTCCGTTGTCGCTGCTGTTGTTGCTGCTGTGCGAGATTGGATTTGTTCTTGTTGTTCTGGATGTGGCTGTGGATGTTTTCGTTCTGTTGTTTCTTCTGTTTGTTTTTATGTTGCAGTTTTAGTTTTTGCGGTTGCTGTTTTTGTTTATGTTCATGTCATGGCTGATGAGGACGATAGCACTACCTAGAATGTTGTTGTTGCGGTTGTGAGCCAGTAGCCGCTGCGCCACCGCCAACTGGTGGGGGTGGTGGACGGCCCCGTCGCTCAATGCCTCTGTCAGCTGTCGATTTACCGCCAGCGGCTCCAGCCCCACCACTTGCACTAGTGTTGCTGGTTGATTTCTTTTTTGATGCGTAGGTTTGCTGCTGTGCTTGCTGTTGTTGTTGTTGCTGCTGCTGCAATTGCTTGTACTCGTCGGCAATATCCTCCGGCGAGGTTTGTTGCTGCTGATGCACCTGTTGGCGCCCACCGCTTACATGCATGCTGCCGCCGCCGCTGCCACTGGTGTTTGTGGTTTGTGCCGAGGCATCTGTGTTATTGTTCATCAGCGATTCCCTCGCATTGGCGTCGCTTTTTGTGTTCGCAGCCGAGACTTTCTCATTATTTACATTATCACTGTTGGTTTCCTGCGATTCGCCGCGATTTTCGCGCTCAGCTTCGGCACCACTAATTGCAATAGCGTCAAGCGAGTCAAAGGAAAGTGTTGACAACAGAAGCGCTTGTACAAATTGTGAACTGTATTCAGAAGAAAATGGAGAAAAATTCACATTTTTTATTAAGGAATTATTATAAAGATAACATTTTTGAAATATACAACACTATCAAATTGAGGAAATTGGATTGGAGAAAAACCACGGGTATTCCGTCAAGCTAAGAGCTTACTAGGGAGGTACAACCTTCGCCAAGGTGAGGCTAAGAATTATTACAGGTTTTTTATGAGTCATTGTAGGCTAAGTGGCATAAGATAGGGATTTGATCAAACAATCTTTGTCGCTTTTGTGACTCCACCAAAGAGACATCATTCCACCGCCTCCTGGAGTGTGAAGCCTTTTCGCGAAGACTGAAGAGATTCAAAGGACATCTGTGGCCAAGAGAAGAGTACATACGCTCAATACCTCCGCGATTCATTATAAAATTTATACCGTGATTAGGGCTAGATGCAGTGCTGTGATGAGCTGTGATCACAATAGAGCTACTGGGCGCAGTTCTTACTTTATTTATGTATCTCTAGTATTGTGTATCTCTAGTATTTCGAGTGATTTGGGTTGTGCTTAGTGATTGTCTGTAAAAGCTTTTTGTTTTTCAAGAGATTAAAATAAAATTGAATATTTGCGGTAGCTTTGGGATTTTACCGAGACTTTCGAATAATATTATTTCCGGTTTTTCGTATTTTTTGGTATTTTTGGTAATTTTTCAAGATTTTCGGAGCGTATTTTTCGGGAGCTTTCGTCATTTATCGTGATTTATTTTTCAGGACACTTGGGATTTCTTTCGAATATTTTTGGTTTAAAAAGACATTTGGGCCCCTATTATGAGTTGCATTCGATTTTCGACTGTGGTCGAAAGTGCTGAGCGAACGAATTTTCATTTGGTATGATGGCGCTCATTCGACGAAGAATAGCGCTATTGTGAATTTAGGTTGTTCACAATAGTATATTTTTCACCGCCGAGAAGCTTTGTTTACAAATCGAGCAAACTAAATAGTGTGCTCATACATATTTATGTAAATTTGTTCTAATTAAAATGAAAATAAAAAGAAAGCGAGTTTATAAAAACGTGGTAAAATGAGTACAACGAGTTCTGGTTCAACGATTCGTCAGAGGATGAGAGCTTAGTAAACTGGCCAGGAGTATCCAATGTTTAAGAGAGTTTAAGTTTATTAGTCTTTCGAATATATTTTGATATAAAATATATTTAAGAAATTTGTCTACAGATTCATTAAAAAGTTCCGACCATCTAAAGAGGCGTTTGCGAGCCAAATCTATTTACTCAAAATATTTTAAAACTATCAACAGCGCTACGATTTTGTTCTCAGAGATCGTGCCAACAGAGTATTGGGATTTTCTTTCACAAGTAAAACCAGCCTTTCCAGCTTGTGTTTAGTATTCACGATGTTAGAACTGCATGAAATTAATAAAAATTGTTTAAAATTAGTGTCTAGCCGCCAAAATGTAAGAAAACATATACAAAATCATACATTTTTCACAATTTTCTAACACTTCGCTACATCATCGAAAGCAAAATTCTGTTCGACAGAAAATTCGATACTCAACGAAAATTTCGACACGCTTGCATAGCTCATAATACGATAGCCAGCGAAGATCGAAAATCGAATGCAGCTCATAATAAGGGCCTTAAATTTGCTCAACTAAAAACGGTGTAGTAGTTAGCAGTGCGCGCTACCACTCCGCTTCACCCTTACATTAAAAAATAAAATAAAATAAAAACAAGGGTTTTTCTTATAGCGGTCGCCCTAGGCAATCGCAAGTGCATTTCTGCAATGCAAAACGGCTGCTCATAAAAATACAATCGTCGATTGGAGTCGGCGTAAAACTGTAGATCCCTCCCCTTTGTGCGACAACATCAACGCGCACGCCGCAAATAGGAAGCTCAGTCAAACACTAACATATGTGTAAGCGCCAACCTATTATTATTATTATTATTAAATACGAAAAACTAAATTAAAAAATATTTCCTAATGTAAATTTTATATAGAGCCGTTTTCGATTTGGTCTATTAGAGGTAATTCCTAATGTGGATTTTATATAGGCGTTTTCGATTTTGATTTTAGGGATAATTGCATATGGGCCAGCTTTTCAGTGTCAGTTTAAACTTAGATTACGTAAACTCCGTTTTTGTTGCACTGCTGGCTGGCATTTGATTGGCTAATCTTAGTTTAAATACTGAACGATTCCAAAAATCTTTCATTCGTTATGCTCTGCGCTCTCCACATTTTGTTGACCCTCTTCCATCTTACACTGCTAGATGCATGCTCATAAACCGTAAATCAGTGCACAATAGGAGGATTATTCTTTCTCTTATTTTCGTTTTCGATATTATACGGGGTGTGATTGACACGCCGTTCTTACTCGCCATAGGAATCATGATATTTTTTCTGTCGCAGAGCCCTAAACGAGTTTAATTCGCTCTCAAACTCTTCTGCTATCGATTTTTCTTCTTCCAAATTTAATTTCAAACTACTTTTAAATATGTGTATAACAATTTAAGTGTATAGGGGGGGACGTGTATAACAATTTAAGTGTATAGGGGTCAGAGAACATTGAACTCTGACGCCTGAGAAAACCAAGTACAGCGTAAGATCTAGAAATGATGTGACTGATATGACTGTTAAAAGACCAATTAGAGCTGAAAATTACACCAAGGTCTTTGATTTCTTGAACTTTTTGAAATTCAGTTTGAGAGATTGCATAAGACGTCGAAAGAATACTGTGACTTTTGGAAAAAGTAACTTGAAAACATTTTTTAATATTCAGAGAAAAGCGAGAGCTTAGACACCAACTGTGTAGAATATTAATCTCGGACTGAAGTCTAAGCGCATCATGCGAATTTTCAATCACAGCAAAAATTTTCAAATCGTCAGCATACAGCAAAAATTTAGCAAATGAAAAACAAGAACTCACATCATTTATAAATAATACAAAGAATAAGGGACCTCAAATGCTACCTTGAGGAACCCCCGATGAGGCAATGAAAGATTCCGAAGAGCAACCATTCACAGAGACCACACAGAGCCTATCCGACAAATAAGATTTGAGCCATAGCAAAAATACTGAGTGGAAACCCAGTGAGGCTAGCTTACTGACCAACAAACTATGCGAAACTCTATCAAATGCTTTAGCAAGATCAGTGTAAATGCAGTCGACTTGGAAACCGCTCCGAGATAGCTGCAATATAATACTCACTGAAGACGCCTAGCTTAGTAACCGTAGATCGGTTGGGGACGAAACCATGTTGATTGGGTGAGACTAGACTTTCTGTTGCGAAATAAATTTTCTCCTTGACGACAACTTCAAAAAGTTTGGAAATTGTTGAAAGTTTCCAAATGGGTCTGTAATTACAGACATCACTTTTGTTGGCACTTTTAAGAATAGAGTGCAGATATATAATTATAGAACGAGAAAACCAACCAACCAATGTACCCAGAATGACGTTTGAAAATAATACAAAATCAGGAGCGGTGCAGTAACCGTCAATATTTTACAAAATTAAATTTTAATTTAAGCCAAAAAGTGTTTATCTTTGGAACAAAAAGCAAGGAAAAAGGAATCGTGTTGCACGCGTCAGTATGTTATACTATTTACTTAGAAATGAGCTGTATCAGGGAAAACGGGCAGACGCCAAAGCTCGCCCCAATCACGTTCAGGGAAAAACTTTTGGTTATTTTATTTTTCTATTTTTTTAATATTTGTAATTTAAACCGCTCCTGGAGTGACTTGACCGTGGTTTGTTTGTAATAGTTCACAAATATACATTTATATTAACACAAGCAAACATTTATTTGATAGGTTGTCTCCCTTTGATTACGGAATAAAAACACAATTTGAAGATACGTTACTATCAATATAGAAGTATTACATATATGAAGAGAGCCCATCAATATCTTGTTTTGCAGAAGCTGCTAGATTTAAAATGCCATTAGCAATATCGTCAGAGGAAAGTCTAAGGGAGCCAAAATTAGTAGAACTCACACTAGCAGAGAAACTAGAATCCACAGTAGGGTTATCATTTACGAAATTAGAACTAAAAAATGCAGCAAATAGATTTACAACTTCAGCTGGAGTGGAGGCACATTTATCTTCAAGAAATACAGCTGAGGGAATACTAGAGTTGTTCTTCTTAGACTTAATAAAATGTCAGAACGATTTCGGATCTTCTTCGATATTGGATTGAATGCCTAAGATATAATTTCTGTAGAGGAATTTATTCAAGCAGTTAAACTTTTTAAGATGGACCTAATATTTTTCAAAGAAAAACTGACTTCCAGAGGCCTTAAACTTATTATAAAATTTGTTTTTAAGATTCTTCAGTTTTTTCAAGTCACGATTATGCCAGGGTAATTTATATGATCTTTTTCTAATTATTGGAATGAATTTAAAACAAAAATCAGAAATTACAGATTTGAAAGTAGCGAAGCATTTAGCTACATCGGGGCAAGAGAGTAAGCTTTCCCAATTTAATTCACCCAGTAATCTATCTAACTTGGGATAATCGCAGGCTGCATAATTAAACTTATATTTGTCACCAGCATTGAAAGACGGGAATACATAAAATTCAAATTTCAGTAACAGAGAAACACGATGCATATTAGATGGAGTGATCGGATTGTGGCAAACTTGAATGTTACACTTAATGTTATCACTAATAAATATGAGGTCAAGAATTCTATCCAACTTGTTAACAAAATTATTGATTTGTAATAAATTAAGGCTTAAGAGGCTATCTATAAAGTACACTTCATGGGACGCATTGACACTAATTGGTGAGAGACCAGCATTGGAAAAAAATGTGGACCAAGATACATTACAAAGATTAAAATCGCCTAACACACAAAGGTGGTCATCTCCTAGCTTATTTAATACTAAAGACATTATGTTGTCAGCATGCGCTTTATAAAGATTATAATTACTATTAGGCGGGATATAAGAAACAATCAAAAACAGAGTCATGACTAGATGAGGCACTGTTGCGAACACAAAGCTGATTCAAAAGGAAATCATCATTTACAAGCGAGACAGAGAACGAAGGAAATTTACGCTGAATCGCAATAAGAACTCCGCCGGCTCTCAGACAACTTGTCTTAGTTGCATTTCTGTCCTTCCTGTAGACATTATAAATGTTTGAATCAAAAAATTCCTCATCAAAGAAATCCGCTGATATCATACCCGATTTATTTATTAAAATCTTGATCGTCGATGTTTTTCCACAACATTATTTCATTGAAAACGGCCTGGAGCTATATAAAATTGATGAATATAATTGTTATATAGCCATAAAAAAAAAACAAATATAGACAAATAGACTCTTCACAATACTTCCTCTAACCCTACATCCCTCAAGGATAGCAGCAGCGCTCTCAAGGGTAGGGAGTGAGTTTGATCAATTTGGGACCACATCGAGCCAAGATATCTCTCACGTCTTCTACAGATGACACCACACTCGGTAATAATATGCAGTGGTATCTCCCTGTCATGTTGTTGTTTTCGCAGCATACAAATTCCCCAAAGACTTTTTGGGGAGTCTTGCTGGAGTGACAGTCCTTGGTTAGATATAAATCTGGGTCGCTCCGGTTACGTAGACCCGACTGTCGTGGGAACGTATACAAATGCCATCTTAGTCTGCAGTGTCCTGTTAGGATACCTGTTAGCAGTCTAAGTTTCTCCTTCAAGTTTTGAAAGCTCTTATTTTTGTGACCTCTGATAGGGTCCGTTAGCACGTTCCTCTCCGTTCTGAGCTCTTCCTTCAGAGTATTAGGGCCAACTTCAGGAATGGACCGGATCCAATTTGAGTAATGGCTGCTGCCTCTCTCGCGAACCGGCCCGTCGTCTCATAACTTTCTATTCCCTTGTGGCCGGTGGCCGTGCTAACTGGATGTTGTTTTGCCTACCAAGGGAGTTAAGTTTCTCGATGCACTCAAGAACTAGTAACAGTATTGTTTCATATGAAAAGAGAGCGCTGCCTGGCTATTGCTTAAAATTATGATCCTTCCGTTTCGTTACCCCCTACATATCTTAAGCAACAATTTATAGATTTAATATACATACAATCTTGTATATGCACAAAACACATTAGCTTGAAAATCATGTTGAGTTTATTCTGCTGAGGGGAAGACTATAGATTTACTTAAGATACAGTTTTTTCAAAGAATCCTTAAATAATCCGCACTGCTTTTTGATTGTCTAGATAACACAACATAAAATTATCGAAAACGCAATTACTTTGATAAATTGCTTCTCAGCATATAAATAAAATATTAAACTTAGGTGGTTCACAAATGTTGCCTTATGTCGTAAAGCTTTTAATGGTCAAATAAATTATTAGAGAACTTGAAACAACAACCAACTATTTATTAACCGTGGAAAATTCATAATTTAATTTTATGATACCTTGAAAGCCCACTAAATTTATTTTGAGCCGTTTAAAGTTTATGCCATTCAACAACACTACACTTACAACACCTTTCTTAATACCCCCAAACTGGTTAATGCTAAAGAAACACATCGTAATATAGTATCAATATTACGATATATACCACCGTCTGTCACTCTCATACTACAAATTATTGTAGTTGCTACGTAGCAAGGGAAAACTACAATATTGATATTGTAATTTCTATACCACATGTGTGTTCCAAGCATAAGGGAAATAAAAAAAGAATTGCCTTTTGTCGCTAGCCATAAAATCGAAAATAGTGCTCGATATGCTTCCAATTCAGCCTTATCCCCAATTCAATGAGAATAAATCGTGGTTCTTCTTCATGTTTGGAACTGTAACCGCGTAAGCAATTTCGCAAGATATAAACAAAGCACGCCAGTCATTTCTCTTCTGTGCCATCTGACACCAATTGGAAATTCCAAGAGCAATTCCATCGCAGAAGAGACTTCCCTTTTCCGCTGCTAGCATAAGCGGGTTCCGAGGTGAATACTTTCAGGGCTTGAATCATTTCCGAAAAGCTATTGAAGCCGATGCTGATATTCATTGTTGATATGATAGCCCCGCTCCTTCTCACCCTACCCAAAGTTATTTCACATCAAAACTTTTAAACATTCATTGGAACAACAATACCGGACTGCTATCATAGTTTAACTTTATGGAATATGCAGGCGTTATTAATTTTTACAAAAATATCTGCACTTACCGATCAGACCTTTCGCGCTCCATTTCAGCCCATTCTGTATCACTCAATGTTGGCTGCATGAATTTTGTTAGCAAAAACTGCGATTGACCATCGGTTCCGGTTCCCGGGCCATTAACACCCGTACCTACTGTTCCACCAGTAACCGACATGCCAAGTACATTGCTGGCACTACTGCCACTTCCCCCATTCACACTGCCGCTGCCACCGCCGCTCTGTTATTAAAAATAATTTTATTGCAAAAAAGAAACAGTATTAGTATACTTTTCAAGTCGTAAAATTACAGCATAAATACTACTTCTCTGCTGTTGAGTGCATTGTTGCCTGTCAGGCCTGATTGGGATTGTTGTTGGGCGGCTAACGACGGATTCACACTCCATTCGTTGGTGCGACAAGAGCTGGCACCACCACCATTAACACTACCAGAACCGCTTGCACCGCTGCCACCGCTACCACCAGATCCACTGCCACTCAATATTGGGCCGCTACTTATCACCTCCGGCATGGTTGCATTCGAATTCGATGAAGAGACCATTGGATGAGCCCGACGGGGCAAACGTTCCAACTGTTGGCGTGTTGCCTAAAAAGAATGTACACAAAGAATAAGCATTATGAAAACATACATAAGATCAGTGGGCATTGTGGATTGAATGCAAACATGACCACAAATGCAAAATCAAACACGAAACATAGCAACAAAAATTAAAAATAAAAACAATTAAAACCAATAACGTCATTATTTTTTGTGTTACGCCGCTGTATTGCTTGCCAAAGATTTTACAACTGCGCAATTTTCCACTTGCAAAATTAACAAAAATGTGCATATACATATATATCGTCGTTTAAAGTACAAAACCGCGTATCAACAAAATGCAAAACCGCGTATCAACGTAATGCAAAACCGCGTATGTGAGGTTGTATAAATTATTTTCAAAAGTGTAAAAACACTCAAATTTCAAAATGGTACTCTTTTTTATAAAGCAATCTCATACCTGGCCAGTATGTTTCAGAACGAATGGATAAGGATTGAGCCAAGAGCTTGTGTGAATAAATCCAATTTTTGGCAGCTAATACCAGTTATGCGGTTTTGCAGAATGACGATACGCGGTTTGTACTTTAAACGACGATGTGTGTGTATATTTGTATATATACACACGTGAGTAAATTTGCAAAAAAATTGGTACATACATATATAATCATGCCTTTTACGGTATCCGAAGGATGAAGTTAGTGAGAAGGAGTAGATTCATGAAAATGGGATACCTCGGAAACAAACCTATTCCGGTCCGACAGATACAATTCGCACGAATCTAATACTTCGCACTCACTTATTCCGACAGTGCGAATATGATAGGATCCATGTGAATGACATCCGTGGGATTCCGTAATAGGCATGAATAAATTTTTATTTTACATACCGTCACTTGTTGGCGTTCCAATTGTATTTGCATCTGCAATTGTTGCAATTGGGACGTCTGCGGTCCGCCTCGTCTCACACCCGATAACTGTGAGAGTAGTTCGGCAATCGGGTCAACCGATTCCCTTCCGGATGGTGATAGGGCCGACAAGCCACTTGATGAACTAAAGTGCATATTGGAACGACGAGCGCGAGGACCGCCAAGCGTACGTCCTGGAATACGACGTACACCGCCTCCATGTCGGATAGCAGATGGTTCGTCGTATATATCAAAATAACAAATTAAGGTGTTCCGTCAATTATATACGTACATATAAAAAATTGTATAACAAAAATAAAAAAATCCGGGAAATGTGTTAAATAGTTATTGTTGTAACAATAGTTATCATCAGTACAAAAGGCTTAAATTACGACTTTTAATTTTACAGGAGGATTAGAACCTTTGGTATTGATGATGATGTATGTACATACATATGTATATACATATGTCTATAAAAATTGTATTATTTTGAAAAGGATATCAGAAATGAAATCAATTCACGCGGTCCCGTTCGATGCTCCAATGTTAGATGGCCGGCAAAGTCGTCTGTGACTAGATTCGGTTCACCGCCCGGTAGTCCGGCACATACTGGACACACTACTTCAAGGCTGGTTTCCGTATGCTCGGCCGAAACGTGTTCCAGCAAAGTAGCGTCGCTAAAGCCCATCTTCTTGCAATAAGGACATGTGAAGCTTTGTGGCTGCTCCGAATTGAGCATTTCACCACCAAAAAACAGTTCAATGTCGGAACGCGTTAGAATGCATTGCATTGGATGATCGACCAAATGACGAGTAGAAGTTACACCCTCCTCGTAACAATCAGCGCATAAATCATAATCATAACAAATTAAACACTTGTAACGGCGTCCATTAAAGTTGCTTTTGAGACAAGAATCACAACTGACCCCTAAAAGAAAAAAAGTATTTAATATTTCTACTAAATATCTAACAGTTTTGAATTTGCATACATCGATGGTCCTATGCAATAACAACACAATTCAAAATTCAAATCATAAACTCTTACTATTGTCAAATGGCTCTGGACTCTAATCCTTTTCTAACCAATGTCTAATCCTTACTAAAGGAAGTAGTAAAGATTACTGCTGTAAATAGTAAGGATTAGACGTGGGTTAGATAAGGATTACAGCCACATAACAGTAGTAAGGTCTAATTTTTTGAATTTTGAATTGTGGCTTTATTGCAGAAGACCATCGACATATATACATAATTTGGCTTTTACAATGTTGGCACATACATATTTATTTGCTTAATACAGAATTAATACCAATTTAAGCAAATAATTAACTATTGTATTTTGTAACGCATTTCCATTGCCAAGTATACTCGGAAATTCGTTGCAACATACAACATCTCACCCTGTTGAAAGAAACAAATTATCAGTTTAACAAACTTTAGGTGATTACCTTCATGGCGACTCATTATTCAGAAAACGATGTAAAACCGAAAACCGAACTCCTTCCACTCCCACTCTGTTGCCTACGTTGCTATTGACCGTCTTGTTATTGCCACAATCAGCTTTTAGTAATGATGTTTCACTTCAACTAAATAGTTTTTGTTCTCTACCTCTTTCGCTAGATAGCGTAATAAGTCGTTGTAAGGTAGAAATAGGATATCAAGTAAATATGTGCACGAAACTTGTTTCTGTTTGCACAAGTTTATTTTTTATATAAATCGGCAGATGATACCAAAGCCAGTAATTTAATCCTTATAACTCCTAACAATAAATCTGTAGGCCACCAAGTACTATGTTTTTTTAGTATTAGGTTATTACTGAACAATAAATGGTAACGATATTGTAGAAATCCTTAAAATAAATAAGTCGATCGGTATCTTCCTTTATCCTTCCTTAGAAATCTGCGTGTCGTCTCCTTTTCAACAGGACGTTGCTCCAGCCGATGATTGGCCGTGGCCAATATAATTCGATTATTTTCTTGAAAAATTCCTCGAACCAGTATACTATATTTTTATTGTAATTGTTGTTTGTAGATATAATGGAGTAACTGGATATAAAGAGAAAAAATGTACATATATTAATAACTATGTCATTCAGGACGTACATATGTGGGTTTTAAAGACTTTATCTATTGACTCCACATTGTAAGATATAACTGCGAATTATATAACATTCCCTCGGTAGTATGTTGTATACTACCGGCAAAATACTGTCACCTCGGCGGGCATTGCCAAAAATAAACTAATAAGTATATGGAATCGAATGCGTTATCATCACGTAGTTAAAAATTGTATAACTTCCTTTATGCAGCACATTTTTGGCATCAAGTTTGCACAAATTTTAAATGTGTACATACATATGTACATGTGTTTGCTCACTTATTTGTTTGCTACCAGTAGAGATTTCTTTTTTAGTCACTCTTCCCTCTGGATAGCAGTCAGTGCACTATCTCTTGCCCCTTCCACATTCGCAAATCAGCTACACACATTCCACTTTAACTTTTGCTTTTTTCCGTAATCACCCTTCCACTTAATGCATTCCAATTAGACCAGCTAAATTCCCATAGATATGTTGCAAATCTACACACCTCCGTTTCTAGCCTTTAATTTTCTTTTTTCATTTGACTCGAAGAGAAACGATTAAATGTACAAAAAATGTTTCATTTTGCTTGCTATATGTACCTTCACTTAAATTTCCTTTCTTGTATCTTTCGCTTTGCGTTTGGGAAAAACTCAAACTTAACAAAAGAATCGGCAAGTTCTTTGTTTTCAGAAAGAATTTTCTTTTAATTATGATGTTCTTGCTTTTATTTCTGCTACATCTTCCATTGCGAAAATTTTATTTTTAACTCCTCGTCAAGGAAAGCTAGAAAAAGGAAAATATTCAGCCCGTTCACTCGTTTCGTGCTTTGCTCGTGTCAAACGTCGTGCATTGTTCATCGGTTAAAACAGTGTTGTCAGTTTCAAAATTAATCCCCTACGAAGAATACCTAATTAAAGGCCTGAAATGTAAGGCCAATATCAGAGGAAGCGTATACAATTTGTTTGCAGTTTCCGTAATACTTTTTTATTCCCAGACACATTGAGGTTGTTCACAGCTGTCTGGTTATCAGGTTATCAGGTTGTCTGGTTATGTGGTTATATTTTTTATTCAGTTTACATCATTAAAATACACTACAGAATAATAATTTTAAACCAGATAACGTGATAACCAGCCAAGTGTGAACAACCTCATTGACCATTTAATAGCCCAGCGCGAAAACAAAACCTGTTATTTTTCATTTTTGACTAACGGCGCGTTTACATTAGACAATGCTGTCAAGACTATGAAGATATACGTATTAGTGGACGCATGCATGGAAAAGTATACATGTGTTATTGAAAAAGTGTGCATGTATTGCTTTTGTCATGACAGTGGCCCGTAGTCATAGTCAAAATAAAGTCGACTTTAAAGTTAGTTGCAGCTTTTTGACATAATTTTCAATGGGATATCTGTCAAAAAAGCTGCAACTAACTTTTAAGTCGACTTTATTTTGACTATGACTACGGGCCAGTATTGTCCGGTGTAAACCCTAAGTAAGTTACGGCGCGTTTACATTGGACAATTCTCTCAAGACAATGAAGATATACCTATTAGTTGTCAAAAAGGCATGCATGGAAAACTTAGGGTTTACACCGGACAATAGCAATACATGCATACTTTTTCACTAATACATGCATATTTTTCCATTGCAACCATTTTGACAACTAATACGTATATCTTCATAGTCATGACAGTATTGTCCGGTGTAAACCCTAGGAAATGCATGCATTATTTTCCATTGGAACAATTTTGACAACTAACTTTTATGCATTTTCATTGACTTAAAAGCATTGTTCAATGTAAACGCGCCGTTAGAAATGCAAAATGTTACATCTTATGAGAAAAATGTGGCAAAGTTTGAAAATTTAGAGATGTATGAAAAAATTAAGCTATGACCTCGGTTGATTCACATTCGCTAAAATATTGACCATAGCTATTTTGTTTAACCTGTTTTCATGTTATACGAGTACGAAATATATTTGGTATTAAACATAGCTCAAATTTTCTTGACAAAATACGCACATAAGTAGCGTGGCGTTGACCCTGAAAATTTGATATAACTTGCAGCTGCAGTTGCTGCAATGCGATTACATTCCCCACCAAGGCCGAATTATTGGCTTTACATTGTGCTATATGCTCGATGAGATTGCAGTGGGAAACTTTCTGGTTTTAGATATTTAATTTAGGTTAGATTTTTTGTTTGGATAATTAGACAATCAAGAATTTTAACGCCAAGCTAAATATGTAATCGCTGGTATGAATTCGAAGATTGCACTTAGGTGGAACAAACACACACACCAATGATTACAGGCAATTTAATGCACGCAGGTCTCACACTTTTCTTCGGAAATATATGTGCATATGATTTTGAATTCATAACCACGTTTATTTTTGTAGATTTTGGCATTGGTTCGTTTTATCCCTTTTATTTCCTAATGCGTTGCAGTGATTGAATGAACGCACTAGGTTTCACACCGCTCGACCTGGCCACAAACCGCCAGTTTCTTTGAGCTACATATGTGAGTCTATTCCTGATTACTAATTGCACCATTAATTCTTAAAAACTTTAGTTTTCCAATTTTTTATAATTTACTTGTATATTTGTGACCTCGCAGACATGAATTTCTTCGGACTTTTCAATTAAATTTCCACTCGCGTTGCAAACGATGACAAATGAAAAAATCCCTCTTCACACTTCCCGCAAAGCAAAAATTCGATGAAGAAAATTTTTTACTTCCTTATTCTTGTTTATCTATTTTACTATAGCATACTTTATCTGTTCATTTGTGTTACACACGATCTTTCAATGTTTGTAAATAAATAAAATTCACTTTAACGAAAATTTTGAATAGAAAGAAACAATTTTATTTCGCGACAAGAGATTATTTTCAATCTCTTGTGTTTTTGTTCCTTAATTTTAATTTGGTACTTTTCCAATTGAACAGGGTTGATATTAAATGTGCAAAAGTAGAGCATTGCCATACAAAATATGTGTAAAAAGTTCAGTGCTCACTAGCAATTCGTTATCGATAGTTCAGAGCAGTGTTGGCATTTTTGGTACAATTGCACATTTTTGATACATTATCATTAACAATAGGAGTCTTCATATTCTTTGTTTTCTTTCCAAAGCAAATAACATGGCGCCGAAATTACAAACGTCAGCCAGAAGATTACTTCTTTCTTTTGCTTCATCTTGTCAGATCTTGTGTAGTTGGATCATGACTAAAATGCATGATAAAATAATGAAAAAAAAATAAGAAAAATAATAAGCGAATAAAAGGTATGAATTTCATCCACTACCTTTATTTGCTTAGGTTTTCTGCTGATTTTCGGCATTTTTAATTATATTCCAGCCAAGAGTGAGAGAGAAAAGATGGCGGGATGTGATGGAAAACACTAAGGGCCGGTTACTCAATGTCTGGTTAACACTAATCTCCGGTAAAACATCGTTATCGACGTTACCGACTCCATGTTATATGCCTTAGGGCCGGTTACTCAATGTCTGGTTATCAGTACTTGCCGGTTAAACATCATTATCGACGGTTCCGACATCATGCACATAACATGTGACCGATAAAGCAGTCTTTGTATTTAACCAGAGCTTCTACCTCCGATTTGTACTAATCAGACTTTGAACAACCGGGCCTAAGGTTGGTGTTATGCAAAAGTTTTGTTTGGCAAACTGCGTGCAATTGTTGTTGCAGCAAACTCGGAGAGAGCGAGTTTGACGACTTTCACAGCAAACTAATTTTGTTTGGTCGAACTGCAGCAAATTCGGTGTTGTCATATACAAAAATTTTAGATAATTGTTGTTATACACATAAATTGCCGTGATACCGAAAGCTAAATAACTGAATTTATGCTGTAGGAGCTTCAAAGATATATGAATATATATGAATTGTGCACGTTATGTACATGTGAAATTTTCATTTCGTGTTGGCAATAGCCTTGAAAACCATAATGAACGTGCAACCCTGTGCCAAACTCAACATAACCACCTCCGAGCAAACTAAGCAGCCGCCATTTAATTTGGCAAACAAAAGTTTGTCTGCATAACACCGACCTAAGAAATCCTGGTTGATCTGTCAAACAGTCACTTTATGCTCCTATTTACACCTTTTCACAACGAGCCTTTACGGATTTAAGGGAATCCCCTAAATCAGCCCTATCACGAGTTTCATTTTCCCCGAACCGGTTGACTTTTCACGTTTGGTTTCCATATACTTACTATGGGCGGAATACAAAATTTCGGGTGAAATTATTTTCGGGGAAAACTCAGGATAAGGCAGAATATACTTTCTTACTACGCAGTACTTTTTAGTACATTTTCGTGGTGAATACTATAAATATATAGCCCTGAAAATTCACTGCGGGAAATGTTTTTATTCTCTTTTTGTCTTCGCCTTCTGGTTTTTGCCTTTGTTGTTTTTAAAAAAGGTTTCGAACGAACTATTATAGCAAGGCGAATATATATAAGGTGGTAT